CACAGTTTGCATCTGTTTTCTCATAATCATTGTCCTGGTTGTGCCTCACCCCTCTGCATCCCTGCTGCCTCTGCTTCTGGCTTCTTTACTGTGGAGATAAACCAGCCTCAGTTCCCTGGCTCTCTGGGCCATGTTGCTCCTTGATGTTCTTTGTGACCCCTGCTTTCTGCTCACCCTAAGCTCTTTGAGCGGACCTGTCGCCAGTATGACAAGCTGCGGAAGCGGGAGGCCTTCCTGGAGCAGTTCCGCAAGGAGGACATCTTCAGGGAGAACTTTGACGAGCTGGACACATCTAGGGAGATTGTGCAGCAGCTCATTGATGAATACCACGCAGCCACGCGGCCAGACTACATCTCTTGGGGCACCCAGGAACAGTGAGTCCCCCAGGACAGGGACCCTCATCTGCCTTACTGGTTGTCCCAGGTCCTGCCTGACTACCCACTCAGAGTACAGATCAGGGACCTCATACCTCTTTCTTATAAACACACACACAGTAGTCTCTTTTGTCCTGGGGACACATTTACTTCTCTTATGAGACTATTTATGTTTAATAAAGCACTGGATATAAATCAAGTCACTGGTCTCTTTGAAGGCTTGGAGAACTGGGGGCAGGGGGTGCCTGTTCATCATTCCAACAGGGTCTTCCTCTACTTCCAATACCTTCAACTCTAAGCAAGCAGCCTCCCCCATTTTTCCCTCTCCTGCCTAGTACTGGAGAACATGGGTGGGGTTGACCCTGAGACATTCCTTTCCAGGGCAAAGAGGTCCACAAATGCTACCTTGTTCTCTATCTCACACTCTGGGTCCCAGTCCCCTCCCACTCTTCCCTGTATAGGTGACCATTCCACCAGTTTCACTTTCCCACATTAGAGTGTCCTGCTGGTCATCATGGCAAAAGGCCTGAGACCACCACCCCCACCACCAAGCCCCAGACAAGCAATACAGTCAGCCCACATGCGTTTCATCTTCCTGCACTGGGGGCAGTGCCAGATATCTAATCCCGGAGAGCCCTAGTCAGGCAGCTGGAGTCTAGGACAGTGAAATCAGGAGATCAAAACCAAAGCCTAGACTGTAGGCAAGGCCAAAAGTGAGCCCATACCTAAGGCACCATAATTCTGTTCTCAGGTGATCTCCAGTTATGTCAAAGGCCAGTGTCTTCTACTTCTGGTACAAGATTGCAGAGAGGAAGTAATACATAGTGGCCTAAATCTTCAGAATCAAAAAGGCAAAGCAGGTTGTCACTTGACTGGTGATTTGTCAGGGCCCCTCTTAGGCCCTTATACACCTCAAAGGTGAAGACTGTAGCAACAGGAATTAACATGCACGTGGACACTGTGCTAAGTACCTCACATGATTTTGTTTAATCCTCATGACAACCCTATGAAGTAGTAGATATTATTATTAACCCATTTTGTAAACGAGGAAGCTGAGGCTAAGAATGGTTAATTTATCAAGCCACCCAGCTAGTAAATAGAGTTGGAGTCAAACCCTGGTCTGACTGACTGGCATCAGTGTTCCTAACCATTGTATGGGCCAATGATCATGCAGGGGTGTGGGGACCTTGAACGCCTGTACAGATTGTGCTGCTGCAATCCAGGGGAGGATATGGTGTCAGCCTCAATGGACTTCAGGTACACCTTCCAAGTGTCCCTATCACCCAAGTCAGGGTATCTGGGGACCTATGCCTGCCTTCTTACCTTCGCCACCGGGATGTCTGGGGCCAAACCCAGAGGGTCAAGCCCAGGGGATCAGAAGGACTGGGGCTGGCAGAGTGTGTGGAGGTGAAGCACCAGCCCAACAGAGTGCCTGCAACTCCCTGTGGAGGCTAAAGTATCTAGGAGCTTTGGGTGAACTAAGACTTTGTTTTCTCTTCTTACAATTGAACTGGGGACACACTTTTCCTTCCATGAACCTATTTATCTTTAATAAAGCTCTGGATGTGGACAAACTGTGCAACATACAGGCCAGACCTTCATAAACAAAGGGGACACTTACAGGACTGATGGGCAGAGGATACACAGTCACAAGCCAGGCCCTGGGCAGCCTGAGGGGAGGCAGGGGAGCCACAAGCCTGTCACCAGTGCCGTCAAAGTACAAGCCTGTCACTTTCGGATGCCAGGGTCTGTAGGAGGCTGACTTGCAAGGGCTAGCCTACTCAGTATCAGCCACCTGCCTGTAGGGAGGAAGGGGACTTCAGGGAAACCTGTGTGCACTGGGTCCCTTCCCAGCTCTGCCTCTGAACCCTGCACCTCTGTGTACCTTGCCTTGCTCCTGCCCCACCTCTGTTGACAGCCTTTCATCACTTGGGGCATCAGCACGAGTGGCTGGTGCTGAGTGGGGGATCATGAGCTGGCAGATGTGGTGAGGCTGCTATATGTGAATGGCCAGCTGGCCTCCCTCCAGGCCACAAGCAAACCCAGGGCCCTCATTTGCAAGACCCATTTAAAGAGTGTGGAGCCCCGGGGAGAGGAAACATCTAGGCAGTCCAGAGGAAAAGCTGTATTTGGACAGCACTACAGTCAGCCACCCAAAGGCGTGAATACCCTGCGCAGTGGGCCTCCCTGGGAGGGAGAACTGGACTTACAAAGATGCCTCCTTTTTCTGATTGCTGAGTGTCTAAGCGCAGACAGACACCTCAATGCCAGCTTCAGAGCCAGGCCCCTCCCCCAGGGCTATTTCCAGATCACCCATCACCCCACACTGGAGCAGGCCCTCCCTGTTGTTGGCCATCAGCAGACCTCAAAATGTGTCAACTAGAGGGCAGCGAGGAGGCCAGGTGGAAAGGGAGGGAGGCCTCTGGGAATCAGGGCAGCAGGTGGTGCTGGTGGTGAAAAATCCCTGTGGTCTGAGAGCCTGCCAGCCACAGAAGTAACTGTCCCCGAGGAGAGACAGGGCTGCTGCGGAAGAGCTGGAGAGAGCAGAACCCTCAGGCCCAGAACAGGAACTGCTTTCTGACTAAACAAATCAGAGAAAATGAGCCATTTAAAGGTAATGTTCCTAGAACACTCCAGTGTGATGTGGCCCCAGGGAACCTCAAACATGCGTGAGACAGAGATCTGGTAGCAGGAAGCACTTAAAATAGAGTGGTCTAAACGAATCTGAAACTTAGGGATTGTAACTTTGGAAAGAGTACTGAAATGAAGCCAAGAGGTAATGAGCACAAGGGTGGGCAGGGAGCTCCCGCTGAGCGCAGCTACTGACAGAGGTGGTGGGTCAGCATAGTAAGCCTTACCCGTGGTCTCTACCAGTCAGTCACAAGTGTTCTAGCAATCCCTGGAAATGGGCACTCTGCAGCCCTGAGTCAGTGAAAACCCAACATACAGTCCCTGCTCCAGTCACGCCCACCTCTACCACTTTCCAATCCATCTTGAGTATCTTAAGCAGGTAAAGGGCTGTCCTAGAAAAGTAACAGAACATTTGAAATTGACATTCTGAATTTACTCATCTATAATTTTTAAGTTGAAATTAAATTTCCTAGGGCCTGATCACTACAGTGTAAACTGGTAAAATAGTTTTTTTGCAAAGCTGCAGGCCGTGTCAGTCAGGGTCTAACACCTACCAGAGACCCAGTTGGAAACACCATCCCCAAATCTGTGGCATTGCTATCATGGTGACCTTGGCTGTGGAATCCAGAAGTAGGCATTTCTTCCTGCTAACCCAATAACCCTCAAATCCAGTACTGAATTATTAATTGGGTGACCAACTCATTCTGGTGTTAGCACTGAAAGTCTTGACACCCAAGAACCCCCTCAGATTTGGTTTTAAAACTAAAATTCCCCCATTCCCTCATTCCTGGGAAAACGAGGACAGTTTCACCCTGAAATAAAGAATACCAGAGGGTGTGGGGGATATAGCTCAGTGGTAGAGCATGTGCTTAGTATGCACGAGGTCCTGGGTTCAATCCCCAGTACCTCCTTTAACTCCAAAAAATAAACAAGTGAAAAAGAACACCAGAGAGAATGACTGGAAAATCTCAAATCAGTACACATAGCGGGGAGGGTATAGCTCAAGTGGCAGAGCACATGCTTAACATGCATGAGGTCCTGGGTTCAATTCCCAGTCCTCCTCTATAAATAAATAAATAAACCTAATTACCTCCCCTCTCAAAAAAACCAACAAAAACAACAACAACAAAAAACCAACATCAAATCAATACATGTGAGTAATCAGGGCTGAGTTAAGGCCTAGTTGACATTTTTTCATTTGTTCATTAATTAAGCAAGCATTTATTAAAAATAAAGACCAAGTTGCCCATTAAGCTTCACAATGGACCGTACTTAAGGGGGTTCCCAATTTTATTGGGGGTGGATAATATAATGTAATTTATATTATATACTTATAACATTAATAATATCATTTTTGCATGTGATCACACATTTTGTTTTTCTTTTTTTAAATTAAATGTCTCAAAATACAAGTTGTCCAATTTTAAGTTCTATATGTAAAAATTATAATACAAAACAATACTGGAATCATTACTGAGCATTTAATATACACTAAGCACTGTTCTAAGCACTTGACATATATGAGCTTATTTAATTTTGACAACAATTATACAGATAGGTACTGTTTTAGCCCAATTTTTACAAACAAAGAAACTGAAGCTTAGAGGAAGGTGAAGCTCAGAGTTACACACCTGGTAAGCAGCCTATCCCCATCTGGAAAGAGAAGACTTGGGAGGAGATGTGATAACGGCCAAATATGCGATGGGCTGTGAGCTGCAAGAGGGAGAGGACTCATTCTGCGACATTCCAGGGGGCAGAACAAGGACCAGTAGAGGGAATTACCAAGAGGCAAGGACCAGCTCCACAGCAAGAAGAACTTCCCCATGATCAGTACTGTCCTTGGGTGGAATGAGCAGCCGTGTGTACCATGAGTCCCTTCCACTGAACTTGGTCAAGCAGATTCTGCACTATGACTTGCCTAGAATGGATGGATCCTAGGAGATGGATGAGGTGACCTTTAATGTGCCTTCTAGCCTTAGGGAGTTAGGAATTTCTTGAAAATCACTCTCTTTTATAATAAACTATATTCATTCAAAAACAAATATATTAAGGGCTTACCATGTGCCTGAACCCTTTCGAGGAACTGGGGATACCTAGATGAATAAATTAAGGTGACAAATCTCAAAAAATTCACAGCCCAAGACATCTACACAGAAAAGTGACAGTCAAGAGAGTAAGCAAACATCAGTGGGATCACAACAGTGTGTGCTCAATAAATATTTGTTGAATATTTGCAAGAACGAAAGGCTATAAGAGGCCAGTGTGAGAGTCGCACAGAGGAATGATCATTTGACAGGGTCTGAATTCCAAGGGAAATCTTCCCAAGAGGCCATGTAAGGGAAGGTAGAAGGACTAGCATGTGCAAAGGCCCAGGCTGGGCAGGGGAGTGTGAGGTGGAGTTCATCTCTCTTCGGAAGCTCAACCACTCCCTTCCCATCAGTGGCTGGGAGGGGACACTCATACCAGGCAAATGAGGCCACCAGGGCTCACCTGGGGCTAAGGGAAGACCAAAGGCAGAGAAAGGGGGTTGTGGTCCAACCCAGATATGACAGCAGGCTTCACAAAGAG